TGTCTCAATTGTTTTGAAGATTACCATACAATTCAACATGTCTAATTATTATGTTTAACTTATTTTTAAAGAAATTTTTAGCATTTGAAAATTTGTCTATTCAATACCTACGTGATTTTTTAAGAAGTTATTTAATTTGGTTTTGTTTTGTAGAAGTTGTAATTCTTTTGTTAAATATTTTATTTTGATGTTTCAATATATAATTTATAAGTAATCTTAAATACACAGATAAGACTAGTAGCCATCTATTTCAGTTATTCAATCACTTTGTGCACGTAAAACATGTATTTTCCCATTTTTCTGTTCTCGTCCTATCATTTTTTATTTACCAAAATTATATCAGAGTATTAGCTTTTTTAAACACACTATATGTATATTTAAAACCAGAGTATAGATATGCGTCTTTGCTTCGTGACCAGAGCGCAGATTTACGTTCTCACTTTGTGAAGGCAGCGTAGACTTATTACACATAATTTAATCAATTTTAGTTTATTTATGGTGTATTTTGGCAGTATTTTGACATTTTGTATCCTATACTACAGACAGATAAAAAAAAACAGTTTTTGTGATACTACAACTGTTTTATTCAATTTCTCCAAGGTGATAACAAAATGTTTGATAATACTGGATGTTTGTGATCCTGTGATTAAATAACAACCTGTAAAAACAATTAATTCTTGAAAGTTAAATACTGATCTACCAAAAACTGCAATTTATCAGCGACAGTTGTTGATTTTTACATTAAAATAGCAAACACAAAAAAAGTGTTCAGAAATAGTGCTTGTATTCCTAAGTTTCAGAAATAGTGTTGTAATCGCCGGCAGACGACGGATACTCCACCTTACGCGAATTCGGCACATGAGCGGTTAATATATTATTTATTCTATTTCATTTACTATTCATTAAGTAGGCATATGCCGTGTTAATAAAACCGTATATTTACAGGTCGATTAACCTTTCTATACGGGCGAAGAGGTCGGTGATGGAGCATAGGAAATACCCGCTCATTGCTCATTGAACAAGAAGAGCGAGTCAAGTTGGGTGAAAAAGGACTCGAAACCACAGAAGAAGGCAGTAGCGGCTAAACCAACCGTTCAAAGCCTCTTTGAAAGCGATTGCGAATCGGATATCCATGATACACACTCCACCGCCCAAGAAACGAAAATCCTGGACACTGATTAACTCAGAGGTACTTGTTATAAACCTTTTTTATTTATTACATATTTCATGTCTACTCATGTTTGATACCAATGAGACTTATTTATTACTGAAGGTTTGCTGTCTGTCCATTCGTCTCTCGCAGGATCAGCACCGTGAGCACACTCGTCGAGTGACTCTTAAGTGATTATTTCAACCAATCAGATTTGTCGTTATGGTCACGTGACCGATTTTCCAGTGATCTGATTGAGAATAGATAATTACGCGCACTCACGATAGGATACTAGGGGTGCAGGGTCTGTCTTTCTATTATTTCAAACGTAATAGGTAATTTATTTCTAAGATTTTTCAAGTTTTTATTGGAACGAAGTTCCTTATCGAACGATAAGAATCTGGCGGATGGGGGCTAGGCGACAAAAAGTGTAAGATTTTTTCAGATATGTTACCAGAAAATTATAGTATATTTAGTTTGGGGACTATTAGAATAATTATGTTGAAAGATGCAGAATCTAAAATGATTAACGATAAATCGCTACAAAAGAAAGGAAGGGGGGCCTTTATAAATTGAGTGTGGTGGAGTAGTTTGACAACAAGCATGTCAGACTTGAAGTTTCGATGTTGATGCTTTTCCTTTCGAGAATATCAAACGTTTCAGCAAGGAGTCAAAAGGACGCGTAGACAGTGTCCTCAAATCGTCAAGCGTTATAACCGCCATATGGGAGGTGTGGATTTGGCGGATATGCTAATAGCATTATATCGCACTGGTATAAAATCCCACAGATAGTGTATGAACATTCTTTCTCAATTGTTGGACATTTGCATAAACAATGCTTGGCTGTTACGTCGTAGACACGACAAAAAAATAAATAAAAAGAGGAAGCAAGATCGCCTCAAAGACTTTCGTTACGATTTATGCTAGACTTCTGAAACGTAATAGAATTATGCCTGTAAAAGATATTGTATCTGTACCCAAAAAAAAAAAAGATTAAGAAACCGTAAATTAGATTAAGAAAATGATGTGAGGTGTGACAAATTTGATCATTGGCCTCAGTTAACCGGTTATCAACTCTGTAAATATTGTAGAGGTGGTCAAGCAAGTACAATGTCTACTAAACACAATGTACATCTATGCTATGTTAAGGGTAGGAACTGTTTCTGGGCTTAACAGACGAAGCATTACACTCATTACACTAGTACGCTATACATTCCTAATAGCTGATTATTTTCAGCGAGTGTGGCATTGTATTTTTTTGTATTTTTTTAACTTCTTTTAAATGCCAAATAAACCATTAAAACTAGTAGTTGTTTTCATTTGCTTAAAATATCAAGGGACTTTATGAGTTAATAGCAAAATTGGCAAAGTGTTAACTAAGAAAGGTGCTAGAGCAGTTAAATCATTTACTTCCAGTGAAAAAGGAGAAACAACTGTTGTTGCTTGTTGCAACGTTATTGGCAATTTTATCCCACCGGGTCTGATTATCAAAGGAATAAATAAGAAACCAGAATTTAAAGAGGGACTTCCGCCTGGTTCTCAAGTTTACATGCAAAAGAAATCGGCATACATTACCTCAGATCTTTTTTTATAAATGGCTGACTGAACATTTTATTCCACACAAGCCGCTAGGAAAGGTATTACTGATTTTAGATGGTCATTCATCGCACTCAAGTGCTGTCAATATGCTAGAAACTGCTCGGAACAATGATGTGATATTACTTTGTTTACCTAGCCATACTACTTCTGCTTTGCAACCATTAGATGCATCAGTATTCGGACCATTTAAAAATTAACGACGAATAATATGAAAAATGTTCCATTTGACGAATCCGCACGCAAATGTAACCTTATGACCTTAATAAATCAGCAGAATGTTGAGAAGCAATACCGGATCAATGAAATCATTAAGGCGGAAAGAAATACAGGTCTACGCCTACCACCGTACTACCCGGACCTCAACCCTATAGAATTAGTGTGGGGAGACCTCAAAGGTAAATTGGCTAGGACGACCATTGATTCAAATTTAGATAAAAAGAAGGAAGTGCTAATTTCACTCTTTGCTAATTATTCGGCTGAAAAACGGTGTAAATGCGATGGCCACGTCATAAAGAATGAATTAGAATGTTATGAGACAGACAGTGTTCGACGGCGAAATTGACAGGTTAGTATGTTTTGCGACATTACATTACTTCACGCTTTCCCTTGCAGGGTAGGCAGAGAGGATCGAGCGCAAAGAATCGCGTTACTAGCATACCATTTCCTTCTCCTTTTTGACATACACGTACTTTACATAACTAACTGAAATATTGGTTGATTATTAACTTAGGTGAAGTCACGGACACGGATTATGACCACGACGGCAATGAGGAAATAGATATGGATTGTGATGATAATTAATTTTTGGTATAAATATAATGAGTGTAAATAAAAAAATGATTATATTCCTTTTTTATTTAAAATAAACACTATTACTAATTTTCGGTGATTAATCATTTATTTTTTCCAATTTTCGTTCACCTGTTGTCAATGACCACGCGTATAATTCTCACGATCAGATAGTATTTTAAAACATACCGCTGAACATACTAAAAGAGCTAAACAATCTGCAAAAATTTGAAACTCCAACGGTAAAATTGTCTAGAAGAAGAATAAAGTAGAGAAAATAAAGAAAACAAAATTAAACAAGTAAAAACTATACTAGCTGGTAACAAAAAAAAACATTGAGAAGCAAAAAGGGAAACCGCAAGAAAAGAAAAAGACCAAAAAATATATTGATATGAATAGTAGTGAAACTGAATCTGTTAACACAGATTTTTCGAAACAGAACCAAGTAAAAGCGATGAAAAGATACACTTACTTTGAGAACTAAGCGGACGATACCTAAACCTGAGTTAGACGGTGCGGCGTTACTAACCATTCTCTTAAATCATGTTGCTATCTCCTTGGAGAGCAACATTCAGTTCGATGAAGTAATCAGATTTCACAGATAAACGCATCAAATGAAAATTCAAGCGCATTACGTTCACAGCCAGTTGAATTGTGCTGATGATGCGTCACGCGGTGCTAACGCTTCAGATTTATTAGCACTCCATCTGTAGTGGGGATCACAGTGGTTGTCTCAGTCTCGAGATCTTTGTCATAATTATCGCGATAATACAAAGCGAATTATAGACGGTATGGTGCCTTTCAATCAAAAGAATGAATGAAGTTGAAGTTGAAATGAAGAAAAAAAATTTCAATAGTTGAGTAAAGTCCATAGGGCTAATTGCTGTCGTACTAAATATCTTGAAATTATATAAAGTCAAAATATAATATTTTTAACCCTTAATAACCTAGAGTTTCAATTTTGATACCAATCTTTTAAACCGAATGTTCACATTACTATTAGTTTTTTTTTTATAGGTTGGCTGTTCGTATTTTACTGTTGTATAATATTCTTTCCAACGAAATTAAAAAAAAAAAGCAAATGTCATTATTGTTTTATTTTATCTATGACATATTACTTGCGCGGCAAAGTGAACAAGTAAACACATTTTACTAAAAGTTTTGTTGAAAACAAATTTGATATATTTTCTTTTTCTGAAGAATATAAATACTTTTGAGGTAAGTGAATATATTATTTTCGCTATGATATAATTACTTTTTGCGAGTGCATGATTTACTTGAAGAAACTAGTGCTATTTTTGTGAGTATCAATTTTGATACTTCGGGCATTCCGATCTACATAAAACCTAACTACTAATTCTTTAGCTATAAAAACTTTTTGAACTTCCGTTTCATTATTTTTCTGCTTAGCTTGGTGTTGGGATTACTTTTATTTTTATTTTATTATAGAAATTTATCAAAAATGCGACCAGAAGAGATTGAGAGCATATTGATGCGGTTAAAAAATGGTGAAATTTCGGAAGACGATTCCACCGACAATGAAGATGACATAGACTATTATTCGAGCCAAAGAGATCGCCTGATGGAGCTAGAAGATGAAGAGGATGTAGGTAATTTTCCCACTGACCTAAACTTGGATGCAGATCTGCCTGTAGCAATCGTAGATACCGACATGCAACATAATTTAGAGACTGTTGAACGAAGCCCAACTCCTACAACCAGCAGCCAGAATAACCCGCAAACTGCACCTATCAACTCTAGAAGCTTAGTGTGGAGAGTAAAGAATATGGACATAGTCCAAAATGCTTTCCAGTTTGCTGGAAACACTGAGTATTCACAAGAAATTATGAACTTAGACACTCCTTTTCAGTTTTTTTCTTATTTTTTCGGTGAAGAAATTTTAAGATTTCTAGTGGACGAGTCAAATAAATATGCCTTCCAAAAGAATCCCAACTTTACAGAACCTGTAACTGTCTTAGAATTACGCAAATTTATTGGAATTCTTATTTTTACTAGTGTATATCATTATCCCAGTGTCAGGTCATACTGGTCAAACATTACAAAATTTGAACCCATAGCACAAACAATGAATCGCAACAGATTTGATAACATTCGACAAATTTTTCACATGAATGATGACTCTAAACATTTGCCCATTGATCATCCCCAGCACGACCGACTGCATAAAGTAAGACCAGTGATAGACTATTTGAACAAGAAATTTATTACTGTCTGTGTCTATCACTAGACGAGCAAATGTGTTCCACTAAAATTAAACATTTTATGAAACAATACTTACCCAACAAGCCCCATAAGTGGGGATTCAAATTATACGTTTTATGCTCTCTGTCTGGGTATGCCTACAGTTTTGAGATTTACTCAGGAGCTAAGGACAAAGACCGTTTACCTGGCGAGCCAGACCTCGGACCTGTATCGAATACAGTTATTCGATTGTTACGACCAGTACCAAGGCACGTCAATCATATAACTTATTTTGACAATTTTTATACGAATATTCCTCTGCTACATTACTTGGCCAATGAAGGTATTTATTGTCTAGGAACAGTACAGAGAAACAGGCTTGGAAAGTCGTGCAAGTTGCCGGAGAATCGGGAAATTATGAAATCTAACGTACCCAGAGGAACATATCAAGAAAATGTGGCCTCTCACGAAGGCAAAGAATTTTCGGCCACAAGTTGGAAAGACAACAAACAAGTTCTATTAGTTTCGACGTATGTTGGCGCTGAACCAGCGGATACTATAACCCTCTACGAAAAAAAACTAAAGGCCAATGTTCAAGTATCATGTCCTAGGGTCATAAAAGAATATAATGCACACATGGGCGGCGTTGATTTGATGGATAGCTTCATTGGTCGATATCGCATCCGGATAAAGTCGAGAAAGTGGACAACGAGGCTCTTCTACCACTTGTTAGACATGACTGTCATCAATGCTTGGGTACTATACAAAAAGGTAAACACAGTGAAAGGAAAACTTCAGAAGAACATTATGAAGTTAGCAAATTTTAGAACTGAGCTTGCCGATACTTTATGTAGATATCAAAGTCACTCGAAAAATAAAAGGGGAAGACCCAGTACCAACAGTCGACAAGACACTACAGTACCTTCTAAAAGACCCCGGACAGGTGTACAAGTATTACCCTCTACTGACGTGCATTACGATTGTATTGGTCATGAAAAAATATTTATGGATTCTAGAAATAAGTGTAAATTTAATAATTGTAGGAAACTTACCTCCTGGTTCTGTAAAAAGTGTAAAGTGTCGTTATGCGATAATAAAAACAATCTATGTTTCGCATTATTTCATGCATAGGTATATCTGATTTCTTTATGGCCTTAATACCTGAAGTATCAAAATTGATACCTGTTTTTTTTTTTCTAAATAAATATGTAAAATTAATATTGTGATTTTTTAGCTATTTTTCCCTTCATCTAGACCCTCAAGCAAACACATTAATATTTAAAAAAAATCACTTTCGTAAATCAGGCTACTAAGGGTTAATAACATGTACTCGAAAAATCAAATTTAAAATATTTCATACAAATTAAATAATGTCAAAATTATGATTTATTATACTAATCTTATCATATTATTTAATAAGTTTGAACATAATTATGTATGTAAATACCACTGCTAAGTTTAAATTAAATTTTTCCTTTTGGCTTTTATCCGTGTTTTTTATCGACCAAACATTATGGAATGGGACGACGAAAAAGTATTGAAACTAATAGACCTCTATTACTCAAAACCACTGCTATGGAACCCAAAATATAGTGACTATAAAATGCGGCCAAAACGCTTCGACGCTTTTAATGATATTGCCACTGAATTATTTACATCCGTTAATGAAGTGGAGAGAAAAATAAAAAATTTAACAAGTCACTATTATCGCGAAAAGAAAAAAGAAAATAGATCAAATAAATCCGGCGCGGGTACCGACGAAATTTATCAAAGTAAATGGTTTGCCTACAAACCACTAAATTTTCTGAGCAATAAAGATGTGCCTATTGGAACGATGGAAACTGTAAGTATAACGTTTTTTACATTAATATAGCACTATGTGTAGAGTGGGTGTATGTGTATGTATAGTATGGGTATCTATATGGGTTTTTGGGTGTATTATCATAGTAAAAGCAAAGAAGTAAGTGCTCTTCATACACGCCCAGCGAGCGCGGGGTCTGAGATGGGCTACTTCTTTGCTTTTACTATGATATTAGTGTGTAGATGGTGTGTTAATGGGAAGTACCTAAATGAGCAGTTAACTTACCAATAGGGTTATTTCGTGTGCACGGAATAAATCACAGTATTATCAAATTGTCTGTTTTTGCAGGATACGCCGGAGGGTCATAATTCACAACAGGATTCACAAGATTTACCAGAGATGCCGACAGAAAATATAACTTCAAAAGCAAATAAACGTCCTAGAAACAATCAAAAAGATGAGATAGTGTCAGAAGCACTGACTATTATGAGAAATATCTCCGGACGACAAAATGTCTCTAAAGAAAAAGATGAGGATAGTTTATTTGGAGATTTTATTGCGAGCCAGTTAAGAAAAATGGTTCGCCCAACAAAAGCTATTGTGAGGCATCGGATTAATAATATAATATTTGACGCCGAAACTGGTTGTCGAGCCGATATGTTTTCAGATTTTTCAAGACCGTCAAGTGCACACAGTCATCCAGGATACTATATGACGGCTGCTACCCCACTTACAAATTATTCAACACCGACGGCTGATACCCTACCTACAAATTATTCAACACCCGTGTACTCTGAGTACTCTAACCAACTTAACGCAAATCCACAAACAGTTCCACCTCTAGAAACATTGGATGCAGAAGATGCAGCTGCAAATCCTTGTAATAGTAGTAGCCAGGATATTGAAAATATTTTAACATCCTTTGAAAAATAGGAGTTTAAGTACCTGTGTAATTGTCTTTTAAAAATTAAAATACTGATTGTATGGAAATGTCATTTTTTTTGAGTTTGTCGGACAAATCGGAAATTTCGTTTTTAATGACCTAAATTTCATTTACTAACATTTAACTCAGTGATTTATAAAAAGTTAAAAACACATTTCATAATTTGTTAAAAGCTTTATTATTCAAACTACAATCAAAATGTTTCTCGTCTGTTCAATAATTAAAAATGATTATGAGTAGTACGAGCGTTTTATTTGAGTTGACTATGTGGTGTTTATTGGTTAAATTGCCATTCTAATCTTCCGACATCAGAAAGAAAATAACTAGTCAACTCCATTCTTGTTTCCTCTGCGGTGACTATTGCATCTGAGGTGGTATCATTATCTTAACTGGGCATGTTAACTAAACAATTTTCATGGGGATGCCTTCGCCATTCACCGGGAATGACTTCTCCTTGTTTATTTTCAGAATCGTATTCATTATACTGTAGTGCACCGGTTCATTTGATAAAATTGAATAAATGTATACACGCCAATGTTACAATCGAAGCTTTTTCTGGGATTAGCTCAATAGGTTTATGAAAAATCTGAAATTTGTTTGCTAACTGCCCAAACACATTTTCAACTTCTCTTCTCCCTCGACATATACGATTGTTAAAAGTCCTCTTTGGAGATATTATTATGTGATTACCATCATAAGCTTTCATAATATGAGTTTGCAATGGAAAAGCGTCATCACCCATAAAAAAGTATGGAACTGGTAAATTCCGTCCAGGTAATGGATTATTATCTGGTATATTTAAATAATTATCATTTATCATCCTGCATAATGTGGAATTACTGAAGACACCACCATCTGAAATTCGACCCTGACATCCCACATTAGCTTACAAAAAATTGTAATCGGCATCTACTAACGCAAAGAGAACAACACTGAAATAATGTTTTTTAGTTATAATATTCACTTCCACTCCTTGGAGGGCATTTAAGTTTTATGTGTTTTCCATCCATTGATCCAAAACAATTAGGCACATTCCATTTTTTTAAATATACATCTGCAACTTTTCTCCATTCTTCCGGTGTTCGTGGTATCTGGAATAAAATTCTTAAATTAATAAATATTTTTATACTCTGAACGCAGTGACATAATCCAGATATTTATCATATAAACATTTTTGTACAGCTACTTACTTTCACATAATCTGATAATTCTTCAACCAAAGCGTGACACACTTCAGTGATTATGCTTGAAATAAGTTGAGGAGATACTTTGAAGACGTCGCAAAGGCTACTGAATGAATTTCCTGAGCTCAGATATTTTAACGTTATTGACAATCTGTCTACTGGTGGAATGGCTTTTCTGTAATTTGTGTGCTGTTTAGCTATTCTGTGTCCAACGATATTAAGTAAATATTCAAAGTCAGTACTTTAATGACAAAAATGTTTTAAAAGAAATGGGTTTCTGTAAAACCATGTCGTCTTTTTTAAATCACTTAATCTTTTACTAGTACTGTAACAATTGCGACTCCTTAAACTTGGCCTGATCCAACAGTTTCGTGTTTTGAGGGATCTACCTATAATAACTGCACAAGTGGCTAATATTAGGTCACTTCCATCGTCCTCATTCATGTCTAATACTGAAACGTCGTAATAATTCGAAAGACACGCGCGCACTCGATAACGCGTCCCCCCCCCCCCCCCCATATTGCGGCGGAATTTATTTTTTATCTTTTTTTCTCCAATATTCGGCACTATTTGGCATGTGTTTACAAACAACTAGATAGTTATTAATTCAATTTATAATATTACTAAGGCACAGTAGGCCTTAGTAGACAAGTTACAACTCATATATCCCATACTCTAGTGACTTCGAGAAAAGTTGTTCGAGCAATACAAACTGTCAATCGCGCCGCATTTGGCCGCATTGGTGGTAAGATCAATACGTCTGTGCGTTATTGCGTCACTCTTTTATTAAGGTACGTAATCATTTTCGGTGGCTTGGTATACCCCTAAAATTGATTTCGGTGAATCCATTTTATCCACAACTATTTGAATTAATATTTTTAAATTATAATAAAAATATGTCTTTTACGTATTAGATTTCAATAAAAGAGGTTCATATAAAAAAATCAATTTATTTTTGAAAACATCTAGGATTTTGCTAATTATTTTGATTTCAGTGGCATTGATTTCGGTGTTTTCGGTGGAAATATAGGAGCACCAAAATCAATTTTGAAATCGCCTAAATCAATCGATCGTTATTTATTTACATTTTATGATCGTGAATTTAACTTTCTTACCAC